AAAGATACTGGTCATCAAGGTTGCAGAAGATTGTGCACCAGAATCTATGAACTTCATGGGTTTGATCTTTGCAGAAACAGAATGCTTTGGTTGTTGCTCGTATCTCAGCCTCTGATTTTGGCGTCTTTCAACAGACTTGTGATATTATAGAGGATTGAACTAAAAATGCCTAGGATGCTTCTGTTCTGTAATATTTATTCTAGGGTTTTCTTCAAGATCAGGATCAAAGATCTCCATTAATCTTTCATCATTTCAATTTACGTTGACTCTAGTGCTACTTGCTTCTGTCATCAAAATCTCAAAATTTGTTGTCTGTTTTTGTGTATGTCAAGATTCTGCAATTTCAGCTATATTTGCACTATATGTGAGATGGCCTTTAAAATTTCTCTGCCTCTCATTCTGGAAGCAAAATGAAAGAAACTAAAAGTGACTTTAAAAATTATAAAATACTTGTTCTCCTCATCTTCTAGATTATCAGTTGAAATTGCCATGGAGGAGTTGTATATGAAAATTTTTGACAATAAACAATATAAAAATAAACATAATTATTTTTAAAATAACTGGTTTCTTAGAAGAACTATTTGCAAAACAACACTCTCATTGTTAGGTTTAGTTGTAGTTTTACCTCATGTTAATCAAATCAAAATCCCTTTCATGAAATGACAGTTGTGTGAAATTTAATGTATTTTTGGAAAACAATGAATATGTTACCAATTATTAACTTTGATAAGCTATATAAATAAAACCCTAACTCACTAATTTGAAACTATTCAGATATGAACAGGTATTTGCTCTTTTGCCTGGTATCTATGTGTGTTTAGAAAATGTGATCCAGATAAAAAATGGTTCATCACCAAGAAACCACAAAATTTCACTTTAATTAAGTATAGTAGTCAATCAGTATAAATTTTTCTTCAGAAAGGGGGTCTTAAAAGCTTATTTTTTATAAGCTATAGCCTGATTCTTGTTGGGAATTTCCCAGAGAATATTAACTTTCTTTTTACAGTTAATACTGATCCCTAAGGTATTAATGTTTACATTGCAATGGGAAAAAAAAGCACCAGTATACCAGTGTTAGAGATTCTTCTCTAGAAACTTTGGAATTGAACTTCTGTAAATTTTAAAAAGTTTTTTTAACCTAAAAAAAGTATTTTTCTTTTAGCCCTTAAAGTTCTTAAATGTATTTTTAAATACTCACATTCAAAAGAATCTGAGATAGATGCTGAGAAACCATTTGACACAATTCAATATGCCTTCATGAAGAAAGGGGAAAAAACTCTCAACAAATTAGGTATAGAAGGGAGAGACCCCATCATAATATCTGTTCTATATGACAAACTCAAAGCAAACTTCATACTCAATAGTAAAAAGTCAAAACATTTTCTCTAGAACCAGAAACGAGGCAAGTTCTAGCAAGAGCAACTAGGCAATACAAAGAAACAAAAGACATCCAAATTGGAAAGGAAAAAGTCAAATTGTTCCTGTTTGTAAGGACATGATCCCACATATAGAAAACCCTGGACTCCACAAAATAACTGTTAGGAGAAATTTTTAAATTATGTAAAGTTGTAAAATCAACATACAAAAATCAGTAGTATTTTTATACACTAACAAAGAACTATACAAAAGATAAATTAAGAAAACTATCCCATTTTCAATCACATTGGAAAATAAAATACTTAGGAATAAACTTAACCAAAGAGACGGAAGATCTGTGTATTGAAAACTATAAAATGTTGATGAAAGAAAATGAAGAATATACAAATAAATGTAACATTGTCCTCTGTTCATAGATTGGCATTTTTATTTAAATGCCCATACTTTCTAAACCATTCTACAGATCTAATGCAATCCCTATCCAAATTTCACTGACATTTTTTTTCACAGAAATAGAAACAAATCCTAATCATTTGATCACAAGACTTTCAATAGCCATAGTAATCTTCAATAAAAGAGCAAAGCTGAGGAGTCACACAAACTATATCAAAAAGCTACAGTAATTGAAGCAGCATAATACTAGCATAGAAACACACAGACCAATAGAACAGGTTAGACAGCCCAGCAAGAAACCAACACATGTATGCTCAAACCAACACAAAGATGCCAAGAAATACACAAAGGGGAAAAAACATTCTTCAAAACATGATGCTTTAAAAAAAAAAACTAGATTTACACATTAGAAGAATGAAATGATATCATGCCTCATATCATGAAGAAAATTCAACTCAAAATGAATTACAGATTTAAACATAAGACCTGAACTATGAAACTACTAGGAAAAAACATAGGGGAAATCTTCACAATAATGTGGTGATTATATGACCCCAAAAGGGCAGACAACAAAAGACAAAACAATATTGTGTTAAACTGAAAAGCCTCTGCACAGCAAAGGAAATAATCAACATAGTGAAGAGACAACTCATAGATTAGGAGAAAATACTTGCAAACCATACATCTGATAAGGGGCTAGTATCCAAAATATATACAGAATTTTGTCAACTCTATAGCAAGAAAATGAATAATCCAATTAGAAAATTGGCAGAGCATCTGAACAGACATTTTTCCAAAGAACATATATGCATGGTCAACAGGTATGTTAAAAAAAAGGTATTCTGTTGCTGATCAAGGAACAAATCAAAACTAAAATGAGAACTGTGGTTGTAGCTTAGTGGTCAAGCACTAGCTTAGTGAACACAAGGTCTTCAGTTCAATCCCCAGCAACACACACACACACACACACACACACACACACACACTGAGATATCATTTCACACCTATTAGAAAGACTTCTATCAAAAAGATAAAAGATTAATGTTTGTATAAGATGGAGAAAGGGCAATTCTTGTCAATTCTTGTAGTTGAAGGGAATATAAATTAGTACAGCCATTATGGAAAACAGCATGGAGCCTCTTCAAAAAATTAAAAAGATTTATGTGATCTAGCAATCCCACTTCTGGATGGCGATATATATGTATACACAGTATATACACACAGTGTGTGTGTGTATATATATGTATATATACATATACATGTAAGTATACACACACTCACACACACACATACATATATACATACATTTCTCTATATAAATATATATTCTCCAAAGGAAATCAGTATATCAAAAAGATATTTGCATTCCCATGTTTGATGCAGCATTATTCACAATTGCCAAGATATGGAATCAATCTAAATGTCCAACAACTGGTAAATGGATAAAGAAAAGGTGTTATATACATACACAAAAGAATATCCTTCAACCTTAAGAAAGAATGAAACAGTGCTGTTTACAACATGGATAAACCTGCAGGGCATTATGCTAAGTGAAATGAGCCAGACACAGAAAGACAAAAACTATATGATTTCATGTTTATAAGAAATCCACTCCTCAGTCTATACCCAAACGACTTAAAAACAGCATACTACAGGGACACTGCCACATCAATGTTTATAGCAGCACAATTAATTCACAATAGCTAAACTGTGGGACCAACCTAGATGCCCTTCAATAGATGAACGGATAAAAAAAAATGTGGCATATATACACAACGGAATATTACTCAGCAATAAAAGAGAATAAAATTATAGCATTTGCAGGTAAATGGATGGAGTTAGAGAAGATAATGCTAAGTGAAGTTAGCCAATCCCCAAAATTCCAAATGTTTTATTTGATATAAGGAGGCTGATTCATAGTGGGATAGGGAGAGGGAGCATGGGAGGAATAGACAAACTCTAGATATGGCAGAGGGGTTGGAGGGGAAGAGAGGGGGTATGGGGTTATTAATGATGGTGGAATGTGATGATCATTATTATCCAAAGTACAAGCATGAAGACACAAATTGATGTGAATATACTTTGTATACAACCGGAGATATGAAAAAAATGTGCTCTATATGTGTAATAAGAATTGTAATGCATTCTGCTGTCATATATAAATAAAAAAAAGAAAGAAATCCAAAACACTCAAACTCATAGAATTTGGAAGTAAAATAGTAGTTACAATAAGCTAGAGAGGAAGGGAAGATAGGGAGACATTGGTCAAAGAATTTAAGTTTCAGCTGGACAAGAAGAATCAGTTTGTGAAATCAACTGTACAAAGTAATGACTATAGTTAATGTACTACATACTTCAAAATTGCTAAAAGAGTAAATTTTAAATGTTTTTACCACTAAAATTGGTAAGTATATGAGATGATGGCTATGTTACTAGTTTAATTCAATCATCACAGAATATATACATATATCAAAACACCACATTGTGCCAAAATACACATATGCAATTATTATTTGTCAATTAAAAATTAAATTTAAAAATTTGAGGAATTACAACTTATTTGTTTGCAAAAGTAAATTGAAAAACTCATTTGTGCATGAAAATTTCTATATTCTTAGCATTCTATTTAATATTTTTATGCCATCTTAGAAGTCACATTTCATTTAAGAAACTAGTGTTTGGTCAATTTTTTCAGATTTCATCTTCTATGTTTTTAGACTTGTTAAATATTTGTAAATTCCTAAGTCTTAAAATCTTTTAGTATTTGTGCCAGGCGTGGTGCACATGCCTATAATCTCAGCAGCTCAGGAGGCTGAGACAGGAGGATTGCTAGTTCAAAGCCAGCCTCAGCAAAGCCGAGGCACTAAGCAACTCAGTGAGACCCTGTCTCTAATTAAAGTACAAAATAGGACTGGGAATGTGGCTCAGGGGTTGAGTGCTCGTGAGTTCAATCTCTAGTACCCCTTGCCAAAAAAAAAAAAAAAAGAATCTGCTAGCATTTGTGATTCTTATATAGGTAATATTTATTATTTAATAGCCTACTTTAATACTTTAATAGCCTACTTCAGTGAAAACTAATATTTTAGTTTTCATTGAAAACTACTTTAGTGAAAACTAATATTTTAATCATAAGGAAAAACTCTATGACAATTCAAGCAAATTATATCTAAAAATAAGTCATTTCATGTAAGATGGAAAAGATTTGTTTTCTTTTAAAAAACTAATATGTCAGCTTTGCGCAGTGGCAGTATCGTAGCCAATGAGGTTTATCCGAGGCGCGATTATTGCTAATTGAAAAAACTAATATGTTTTTGACATTATTTAAACATTTTAATTTATGTACTATGCATTTTTTATTTTACATAAAATTTTATAATAAAATAATTGGCATTTAAAATAAAAATCAAAACAGGGAAATGAAGTAATATATAACAAGTAGAACAAGTAAAAAGCACACGTGAGCCTAGATTTAAAATCAATGAGAATTAAACAACAGCAGATGAGGTAGAGAGGGAAGATGAGAGGGGAGGGGAGGGGGGATAGTAGAGGATAGGAAAGGCAGCAGAATACAACAGTCACTAATATGGCATTATGTAAAAATTGTGAATGTGTAACTGATGTGATTCTGCAATTTGTATTTGGGGCAAAAATGGGAGTTCATAACTCACTTGAATCAAATGTATGAAAGATGATATGTCATGAGCCTTGTAATGTTTTGAACAACCAATAAAAAAAGCAATATATTAGTAATTATAATTAGTACAAATGGATTAATGCTTCAACTAAAAGGTTAAAAGTACTATACCAGAGATACATACATAAAATATGTAGAAAATAATTATTTAAAACATACACAGAAAGGTCAAAAGTCACAGCATAGAAAAACAAAATATGCTATAAAAACAAGTCATATTAATATCAGAAAGCACTAAGGTTAAAATAAATATTACTAGTGATAAAGATGGTCACTTGAACCCCAAAGCCTTCAAGCAGAAGGGTTCAGAAAGTATCAAAGAAAAAGTAGAACCTTGAGGGTTTCCTTTCACTATGATTCCAACTTTCCTTTTAAACATCTCATGAGAATAATTCAAATTGTGTTTAAGAAGTGAGGAAAAGCTGTGGGTAACACCACAAGCCTTGATACCCCTGTGTGTCTTTAGAAAGAGTGCTCTGAACACATCCACAGGCCCATCCAGTCACTTGGGGACTGCTCTTGGTCTGATGGGCTGTCAGTTCTTCATATTCTCTGTCAAAGATCTCACCAAAGTTAATTGAGGGGAATGGTGACTCAAATTTATCACACAGCTATCCTAGCAATCAGCAGTCAGCACACATGGCCTAACCCCATGCAGTTTGCCGTTAAAATTGCCTACCCCAGCATCCTCTCCTCTTCCTTTCCAGCATGCTGGTAGAACCACAAGGATAATGATACATTCAAGCTAAGCCCAAATCACTCATAAAGGAAAAAAAAAAAGTTATGTGTGTTGGGAGGTGGGGTTGTAAAAAGGGAAGCGGGAAATACAGTGTTCTCATGAGAATTCTTCTGATTTAAATTCTGACTGGATTTTTATGGATTTCAAGTGGAATTATAAAAAGGACTAGAAAGAGAAGGCAGAAAGACAACCTTGGATGCTGCCTGGCAAATTGGAAAAGATATCTGTAACATGGAATCCCTAAAGACAATTAGCTTAATTATTTCCATAGGCATCTACTATATTCAGTGCACATTGATCGATTTTACTGCTAATTAGACTAAATGACCTTGAATGTTTCTATATAATTAATTGCAGTTTATAGAGCACTTATTTTCAGTTGTATTTTGACAAAAATTCAGCTTTTATCTCACATATTAGAAGAGAATCTTTTGATATTTAAGATAAGAAGGAGAGATACAATACTTAACATCTGCAGGGAAAGAGATAAATGAAGAAAATCAAATAAAATTATTATTTAATTCTCTCCCATTCTGAAATTCTATAATCCTACATTCTGCCTCTATAAATTTATTAATATCTATATAGAGACTTCAAGGTTAGCTTAGATAAATATGCTTAAGTTTGTGCTTTTCCAAAAAAAAATTAATATTTAAATAATGAAGTTATAAGGAAACTGATGATTAATTAACTAATAAAAAAGAGCCTAATATATGAAGAATATTTCAAGTAGGTAGACCTGGGTTCCCGACATGGGCTAAAATGAAATTAGCTAAAATGAACAAGGAAGTTGGGGAGAGGGTTCTACAGCGTAGAGGAGAAGGGGCTAGGTCATTCCACAGGTGCCCTCCAAACATGAGATACACATCAGGTACTTCCATCTCTAGTCAAGGTAATGTAGAAATGAAGAATGGAGCCCAAATTGTGAGGTGATATAGACTTTGGGCAAGGAAGAATCCTCTGTCTGACTTCCATGGTGTGGAGCACTTTGGTGGTAGAATATGCTCTTATGATTGGATGAATCTACAGAGCCTGAATCACAGGTCCTTGTCTATTACTTTCAAGTTGGCCATTAAATGTAAAATCCTTCATGCCTCATCCTTCTTTCTGCTGAAGAACTTTCCCACAGACTCCATAGATAGAGGACTTATACACATCAGCATCAAAAAGTGGATCTCACAGAAGTGGAGAGTAGAATGGTGGATACCAGAGCCTGCGAAGAATGTTGGGGAGAAGGAAGTGGAACAAGAACTGGCACAGCTGGATAGGAGGAGTCACTCCTAATATTTTATAATACAGTAACACAACTAGAGTTTACAATAATTGGAAGTTTCAAATCAACTAGTAGAGAAAATTTTTAATTCTTTGTGTTCTTTTGAGTGCAAAGAAATGACAGGCGTTTGAGGTGATAGATGCCCCAGTTACCCAGATCTGGCCATTACACATTGCACACAAGTATTGTAATGTCACACTGTACCCGTAAATATGTACATGTCTTCACTAAAAATAAAAAAAAAATTTTTTTAAAAAGCATCTCTTCTAAACAGTGTCCATACACAACCTCAATGGTTCTATCACTGCTGCTTATGGTCACTGCTTTAAACTTCAAATACTATTGTCCTCTACAACTTACTTCCAAAGGTTAATTCAGAGAGTGGAGACGCCAGGAGAGATGCAGCCAGGACAAATGCATATCTCAATATGTGGCACCATAAGAAAACACTCCTGGGGAAAAAAAAAAAACACTCTAAAACCACACAGGGTTATTCTACATAGTACACAAGGACTTCATATTCAAGAAGAGTCACACCTAGACAACTTTACTCTTTTGAACTATTATTGGATTTTTATTATAACTTTACTGACTCAGTGTAGAGCCTATTTTGACAATTTTCTAACAGCAACATTGTATCTCATTTTAAAAATCGAAAGTACATTGAAACCACTCCCTAACAAAGGATGAATGATTTTGCTAATCCAAGGTCTTGTTGGTCAAACATCTCAAATACTTGTATTTTTACACAAGGAATTCTATTTCTGACTAGTGTCCTGATACATAAGTATATGAAAATGGGAGGAAAATAGTCCTCTATTGCTACAAGTGCACAGGTTAAATTTGATGCTGTCTAGTGCAGTTCATATCATCTGCTGTTTGCTTATTATATAAGAATATTATTGCTGAGTTCTTAATTTAAATCCACAAATACTTTCATGATGATGTAAATCACTATGTAACCACAAATATTCATTTCCCAATAATAATGAACAAAGTAAATATTACTTACACATAAATTAAAGATTACTATGTAATCCTCTACTTAATATGGCAATTGATTGTTTTTATTACAGAAATTATGGCAGTACAAACTTTAACTGCTGTTAAAATATTACAGCCTCCTGCTACATAGACATTATTTAATGTTATATGTAAAATGTGTACAAACCAAAATTCAATCAATAGATCCCCATGAACTAATCAAATGGAATAAGAAATTCTTTGAAGAAACATGAAACGAGTCTGTTTATTAAAATCATAATATTAGTGCTAAACCAATTGCAGTTTCTTGACTCTGATGTAACTTCTCCAATATTGAATTACCGTAAACATGGTAAGAAGGTTTAATTCACCTAAAAATCTCATTATCAGTCCAGCTATGATCCAAAATGAAATTCTGATATCAATTTTTTCTCAGGTTGAACATAGCATTTGGAATAAAAGGCTTATTTATAATAATCAAATATCTCCTGGGTCTTTTCAGTAGTCTACATACTTGCTACTCAAAGTGTAGTCCATGACAGGCAACAAATCAAAAGTAAACAAGTGGGACTATGCCAAATTAAGAAGTTTCTGCATGGAAAAAAAAACAACAGCATAGGGGTTCCTCCTTGACCTAAAATTTTATAAACAAAACTGTCAAATCTAGCAATCATTTCTACATAAAGGAAAGATTGGAGAAAGAATTCAGTATTAATATGTAATTTAATTTCTATAAAAGCAAGATGTTTATTTTGAAACAAATTTATATATTTCAGTGCTCATTTTTCCAAAGTTTGATTTAAAAAATCAAAATAGCTTATAATGGCTAACTTTATGTGTCAACTTTATTAGATCACCCAGATATTTGATAAAACATTATTCTGGGTGTTCCTATGAGAGTCTTTTCAGGCGACAATAATATTTGTTAAAATACTGAGTAAAGCAGACCACCCTCCTTAATCTAGGTGGAACTTATCACATCAGTAGTATAAGTTTTGACTCTCTTTCAAGTGAGAGAGAATTTCTTTTGCCCAGTTACTTTCAAAGGGAACATTGATTTCATACTGAAATTGAAACTCTGTCCTTCCTGGTCTCCAGCCTGCAGGCTTTCAGACTAACTACAGCAGCTCTGTAGTTATATATGTTCAGCCTACCCACTCACCCTGCAGATCTGGAACTTGTCAGCTCTTATAACATATGAGCAAATTCCTTATTACACATGCACACACATGCAAGTGCGCGTGTGCACACACACATGCACGCACACACATACACATCCTATTGGATGGATGCCTGCATGGATAGATGGAAAGACAAATGATAAACAGAAATAGAGATACACAATAGGGTCTGTTTCTGTGGCTAACTCTTACTCATGCACTTGTTGTTTTATGTTTAACAATTCAGTGTGGGTAATTCGAGCAGAATGGTTTTATTTTTGTAATATTTGTTATTCTTGAGTATTCTTTTTAACTGAGGAAGATGCACCTCTTCTAATTTGCACAAAGGCACCAAAGGGGCCTTGAGGCTAATATAGTATACAGGAGACTATACCATGTGTGTAAGGGTGAAGACCCAGCCTTGAGCTTAAACTTAGTGACTGACTCCACACCTCCTGACTGAGTGATGCTGGTTCACACCTTCCTCTCTGAGCTTTAACTTTCTCATTTACCATGTG